TATACCAATTGTCTTTCACGTACGTCAGACGCAACGGGCTGCTCAGGAGCCTAACTGGTCAACGCCGTAAAATTAAAAGTATATAATAAATTAATAAAATCACACACTAGCTATGACTGTACTAAAATTTAGGAAAAATGAAAAAAAAATGAAGTTGATTCTTTGGTTTCGGAGAGGCTCACGTATACGTCTGCGTCGACGCAATTGACAAGATAACTGCACAAATGCATCACTGCGGAATAGACAGATTTAATAAATTTTTCCAACACATTAAAAACATGTCCGCGCGCGTCTCAATATAGAAAAAAAATGAGCAAGATGATTTCGCAAAGGGAAAGATATGAAAATTACAGATCGCGATTATTTCAGTATCAGAAAACTCTGAGAGAAGTTGCCGAGTCGTGCGATGAAATCCTCCTCTGAGGCAACGATACAACGACTTGCAAACGAAAATAGCTAATCGCGTTACCGACGGTAACGACACGGCTGGAGGATTGCGTCGGGGTGGGGGGAGGGGGGGGGAAGAGAGAGAGTAATGAAAACGTGTCCACGGAAGCACGGCGGACTAACGAGTAAATTATAGGGCGGCCGACGGCGCGGCCGGCCGGCGGAAGAATCGCTCGCCCTCGCAGATCGGCCCATCAGATAACTTTCAGCTTCCATTAACGTTATACGGCTGTTTACGAGGCACCCGCGACGCAACGTTGAGCCCATTGTGCGCCCGCAGAAAACAGTCCCGATTTCGGCGGCGACACCCGTCGATATTCCCGCGGTAGGCATCGTTCGAGTCTCGTTCGAGTCGGACTTGAGAGAGACAAATTTGATGCACTCTTACCTCCCGACGTCGAGAACTTTTGCACGAGACAGCAGAAGAACGAAACGTACTATACAGGGTGTTACGTAATACCCGTCTCACCTCTTATGTGCGGATAGCGCGGGCTAGACTGAGTCGAAAAGTCCTCTACCATTTTGTAATTTTCGCGAAAGTTAACGAGTTATTAATTATTAAAAATCGCTGTCTTAGCCCGGCCTACCGCCCAATTGAAGCGAGCGGGGAGTTGTTTATTATACGTAGCCGTTGCCGTGTGTCATAAACAACTCCCCGCGCACCTGGCAACGCCAATCGCGGGACGGCCGCATCTCGCCGCGCGCTTGAATTGGGCGGTAGGCTAAGACAGCGACTTTTAATAATTAATAACTCGTTAACCACTGCGAAAATTGCGAAATGGTAGAGGACTTTTCAGCTCAGTCTCATCCGCTCTATCCGTAAATAAGAGGTGAGGCGGGTATTACGTAACACCCTGTATATGTTATTGCATTATCGGCGAGTTAAGCTGGAAACACACGAAGAACACTTAAGCAGTAAGACTTAAGAATCTCAACCGTCGGAATTTTCAGCATTGCTTAAGTTTCGAAGTGGCTCACGTTCTCGACCGTCACTGGTCAGTTCCCTTCTCTCTAAAAGTCAATCAGTCTGTTATCACTGAAAACAGTAATCGATACTCACTGATTCACAGTTGTAAGTATGCCACTGAGATTTTCAGTGAATTAGTGAACTATTGCTTCAGTTTCAAAATGGCTTAGGTTCTCGACTGTCATTGGTCAGTTTCCTGCTCTCTGAAAGTCAATCGGTGGATTATCACTGAAAACGGTGACTACTCAAATTAGTGACTTCACTGTCTTCAGTGATGATGCACTGATTTTGACTTTTAGAGAGTTGAGTCTCAAGTCTTACTGCTTAAGTTTGCCCGTGTGTTTCCAGCTTTAAATTTCCATTCACGCTAGTTTGTCTTTTTACGAATAAAATATCGTATTTTACCGAATCTTTGCCGTCTCGCTAATGAAACAGTCCGGCCGCGACATCGATCGGCCGTGCCGAGCGAAATTTACGTCGCGTTTACGTCGAGAGTGTACAGCGGTTTCCCCGCGACAGCGAAATTCCTCTCTTTCCGGAGGCACGCGTTTCTGAATAATCGATAAACGCGCAGAGCTCATCGGACGCGCTAATGCCGCGAGCGGAGAAAATTGCGCGTATCATTTAGAAGGACGCTCCGTCCCCGGCGCGAACTACGCGTATAGTTTCATCGAATTTCAATGAGCGACGTTACACGCGCGTCGTCCCCCGGCGTGCAAAAGCGCGCTACGTAAATCCGCTTACGCCGTCGCGCTGCATCCGGGACACTCGTCCGCGTATTTCGCGAAAAATATCATCCGCCTAAAGCGATAACGAAGTGGCGAGCTGCATTTTGGGACGCGGAGCGCGCGTGGCACCTTGCCTAACTCTTACGGCAATTTAATCACTTATCCTTTCTCTCGTTCGATCTTTGCGATAATCGATATTAATTAATTCCCCGCGCGAAGACCTATTGCCACGTTTTACCCTGACACTTCCGACGTTTCCACGACTCTTCCGCAGTTGTATCAAATGTAACTTTTCACTTACGCCCGGTTTCACCAACGTTGTTCAACTTTCAGCCTAGCTTAATTCGTTCTTTGTCTCTTTCCAACTGTTACTTTAGAAAGAGACAAACATGAATTAAACTAGGATTAAAGTTAAGCGATGTCTGGTGAAACCGGGCCTTAGCAGTCTTCTCCTTACTCTCTAAAAGTCAATCAGTGGATTATCACTGAAAACAGTGAATAGTCACTGATTTGCAGTTCTGAGGATACTACTGAAAGTCGCAGTGGTATACTTACAGCTGTAAATCAGTGACTATTCACTGATTTCAGTGATAATTCACTGATTGATTTTTAGAGAATACACGAATAAAGATTTTTGATCGTTTACGTAATAATTCACGGCGTGAATGCGTCTCACGAATGAAGTCGATAGAAGCTTCACTTTACAAAGATCTCCAACATTTTCAGACAAGAAAGCAAGGATACAGAAGTATGAGTCTAATCGACTTCTAATTAAAATATTAGGGCCCAGGATGCACCGTAACCGGCGTTTCTGTCGTTCGTTCCTTCGTTTCTTTTCGCGATCGCGTTGCCGCGAATGTTCCATTGTGTAAACCATCGTCGTTTAGGAATTACGCAAATCGCGCGATCATATTTACCGTCGCGTGGCCGGGGGGAGGATCGAGCAATCCCGTCGCGTTTAACGCGAGCTTTCGTGACGGCGCATACGTGACATCCTAATATATTCAAAGGAATCCGCGTGTATCGCGACGATCGTTCTGACATCTCTCTTGAATAATATCCCCCGAAAGATACGGGGGACGCGGAACGGGGGGGGAGCAGCAATTCGGTTATGCGAGTACCTGGCGAAAGATCCGAGAGACACGGCACGTATCGAGGCGGCTGCGATATCTCGGCGATCGCGTCTGTTGCTATTAGAAATGCTTGACGATACACTCGAGCGTATTCGAGTATTCGAACTACTCGATGGTAAAGTATCGATTATTTTAATACAGCGGTGTAAGCCGAGTGTTGTTCGCCGAGTGTGTTTGCGTGTACAAATGCACCGCTTATTTCGGTGGCTAAGCTCCACGTCGATGGAGCGATGCTGAAAATTACTGAGGATCAAGAGACGACGCTAATAGATTATTATTCCAAGCGGATCTTTCAATCCGCACCCGGAAAAAAGATTTGTTTCAGGTTAAACAAATGAGAGTTGAAGTCATGTTTCTTTCAATCTGCTCAATTTTTGTTTACTTGTGCTAAAACATTTGCTAGACTCGAAGAAATAGATATAAACTGTCTTTGAAATTTCAGTCTTAGTCCAACAACATTTTGGTTAAGACAAAGAAATCATTTCCTTGAGATTATAAGTAAAACGTCTAGCAAGGTGAAAATTCAAAAGGGAATTTGTTTGATCGCAAAGAAACTATTTTCTGGGTGCGTCCGCGCGTTTACTTCCACGAAAAGCTAACTGTTGACTGCAAATTTAGCGCGATATTTTATTGTCAACCAATAATTAAAGTTTGCAAATTTCCAACGCATTTCTCAGATCTCGTTTAACGCCGTAAACCTGCCATTTAAAAATATGTGCCACTCGAGATCGTTTGCTCGTTACGTTCCTCGTTAGAGTCTCGCTCTTTTCGAGCCGCGGAAGTAACGTGTACCAAAAGTACTTGCTTTCTACCTTCACGCGCGGCGCATTTGTCCCGATCAATGTCCCGATTACGCCTCGTCGCGCGCGTTTTTAACTTGGATTATAGCGAAACGTTGAATTTGATCGCGGGGGCCGCGCAGATTCGCTATTCTACCCGACTCTGTAATTTCGCGCTATATTTTTGAGCCACGCGGAACGCGACGGGCGCGTGATTACGTGCTCAACGCGAGCAATTTTATCGTTCTGTCGGCGACGCGCGGGCGCGCGATATCCCGACTCGGAAATCCCAAATGACATAACAAAATAAATGCAAAATCGCTTCGCGCGGTCGAGTGGCGCTCTCGAAACGAAATATGATGCGGATGCGAGGATTTATGCGGCTCCCGCGATATTTCTCATTTAAAGCCGGGGGATTGGCCGACGATTGCCGTGACGCGACATTTTCGCCGCGCGCGGACTGTCATTGTTTCAAAGTCGCCGGAACGGCCCGAAGACGGCGCCTCGCGGACACGCTCGACCCACGGGGTCGATTTCGCGATTTTGCGAAAGCTTCGGTGTGACTTGACCTAACCAAGACAGAGCCCAAACACTTTTTGCTAGATATTATATAATATACTTTATTACCTTCGGTATCACCTATATTATAACAATACATAGCGCATTATTCTTCAACAATTAAATTTTTCGACCAGTTGCGAACGTGAATTTCTTATTCTACATAATTCCATGACAATAAATAGATTCGAAAGCTATATAAACTATGCGGTATATGCGTAGATCACTTAACGGGTATAACTACAAACGAATAGCGGTTTTATTCGGTTCCTTAGACATAGTAGAAGTCATCGTAATGGTGCGCCTTTGCGAAATTCGTAATGTTATATTCAACGAACGTTTCACTTTCGAAGCGGTTTGCACAAGACTTCGAGATTTGCGTAATTACCTGATTTTGGGCGTTTTGCTCGGCCATGGCTTTTTCCTTCGCTTGCCTCTTGCATTTATACCGGTGATTTTGGAACCATATCTTCACCTGCGAAGCACACGTAAGACATGTAATTAGGTCTTCGTCGAACGCAGTGGTGTTAACGTTATAATCTACGTTTTTACGTTAAATGTCGTAGCATCGGGATCTCCGAACTCTTGAATTATCCGCGCGCTGTTGATCGTAGTACATTTAACGATATCGACAACGGCGGCATATTTCAAGCAGATTTAACACGATTGGATTGAAACTTTCATTCAACAGATAGTAAAAATTCCTGATTGGTCAATTTGGTAGTTTGGGCGATTGGTTGACAGTACGCATCCACCAGATTGCTTCACCTTGTATCTTTACACCATGGGTCCTGGTGTGTCATCCGTAAAACGTGTGATAAACGAGTCAATGAATTTCTCGTTACGTAGAACATACACGTGCATCTTGAGACATACTATAATAACGTAGAGAAGATGTTTGGGACATCCTGTGAACAGCTCCTTTGGAGCAAAGCCTAAAATCGGCCGTGTTGAGTCGCCCTTTATGGCGGAATAAAACGGACGACATATCTCGTACGCGAACTATCGCCAGGTATCCCTCGGATGTTTTTTCAGGGGCGAAGGCACGCGCTTTTGTCAGGCGCACTTTGAATCGGCCTCTAGCCGTTCCCTATCCGATGCTCTAAGTCCGTAATCCACGGTTAGACGACCGTGTTATTTCTTCGAGGGGAACTTAACGCCTCGTTCACTTTATATATGCGGACGCTCGCCGTCGAGGAGGGAAATAGTACGAATTTTACATATTATTTCTGCCGGAAGAATTATCGAAAGTCTCGACTATTGTACGCGCTTTCGAGTATCGGATCTCGAAGGCAATCTCGTTAAATTACAATCAACAGTAACAATCGTGTTCGGAGAATCGCCACCAAGTCTTGGCCCAAGATATAAACAGTTCAGTGTCCCGAAATCAACAAATGCCCTTTTGATCATTCTACTCTGTACAATTCTTTTGTGACAAAGTTAATATTCTCTCAGTGAGAAAAGTCTCTACGACAAATAATATATTTCCCTATAACCGATATCTATACATATAAAAGTAAAATTCTGTCTGTCCGTATGTTCTTTATACAATTCTTTACCAATGGACCGATCTGAACCAAGTTTGGCATAGTTCTTCAGTAGGATTCTGCAAAAAATATAGGCTATCTTTTAATCTGGATAGCCAACTTTAATCTCCTGAAATCATTAAAGTTAGAAAGTCGAATCTCAAACCCTGAAATTAATAAATTTTAATATCTAAACCCATGGAAAGATCTTGATCAAGTTTGACAATGTTATTTCATAGAATTCTGCAAAAAATAGACTAATATAAAAAATGTGATTCAAGGAAAAGGAGGCCCAACGAAGCCGGGTACGACCACTAATTTTTATTAGTGACGATTTGTGTTTTCGCCTTCTTGATTATTTAAAAATATTCGTGAGATGCCATATGTTATTAAATCAACCAACATTACCTGACACGCGTTTCGTGATACTGAGACTCTTTAAAAAATTAAATCAAGCGGCAAGATATGTCTCGGACGATAAACGCGATCAAGCCGCCTTTGTGAGCCGCGCATAATGCATATAGCGCGGATTATAACGCGCTTCATAAGCAGATGTCGATCTCAATTCCGTCCAGGCGGCTGCACAACATCCACGATCGCTTAGCTCAATTGCCGTAAAAGCAGTCTCGAGCGATCCTAATCGCGCGCGACTGTTCCTAGCGAAAACTCAAAAGCTACCTTCCTTTCTTCTTCCCTGCTCCGTACAGGCAACAAAATTCGCCGGCTAACTTTTGTTATAACAATCGAGAGTTAAAATCTTCTTTCGAATTATTCGGCAATCAAGTGTCAAGATTGCAACACCTCCCTGTTTTCAATATCGTGTGCATTTAGTACGCGGAAAAAATGCTGTTAAATAAAAAAAAATGAAGCTGCTTGAATTAAACGTTAACGTCACGGGCTGCCACAAATAATTCACTCGATTGTATTTGCTGTGGGTTTTATATTAAGCGTTTTATTATATATTTATTATATAATATTAAGCGTTCAACTAAATATCCAGATTACTAAAACAACATCAGATGTTTTCCATTCATTAATGCCGATGTTGTTTCAACCATTTTATTTCAATCACACTGGTCTCGTCGACACGTCATTTTTTTTCGTGTAAGTAAGCGTTCAATTAGAATCAAGCGAGTTAGATCTTAAAGCTACTGAAGAAATACAATTTTATTATACATATACACTTGATCCTTTAAGGGGATGCTGGAGTCATTCTACACTTTTGCACCTTTTTGCTCCTAGAACTGTCAATTCGTGACAACATTTGTGTAATATACAAATTATGCGGCTTTTGTGTACGAACCGACAGTGTTCCACTAATCGGACTAAATCAGAGAACAGCATGGTATCATTGAAATTAAGTTTAGAAGCCTAACAAAAAATCTATTCACTCAAATAAG